CCCCCCTTTCCGCTCCAAAAAAATACCCAACCCAAAACAAACAAATCCACACAAATTAAAAGCGCTGTGGGGTATATCGTGTTGCAGGCTGTTAAAAGGCTTGAAGGCTTACCTTGTTCAGCTCATCTGTCTCCTTCTTGATGATGCTGATATCGTTGTTGAACTTCTGCTCTCCGAGGATGATTTTGACAGTCTCCTGGCGGACCTTCTCGTGTTCCTTTTTTAGTCTGGGAAAACATAAACAAACGTGATCAAGGGGGGAGGGGGGTGTTTTACAGATGATGTTGCTGTTTGTGACGGAATTGTAGGTGCTGCTGCTGTTGATGTTGTTACTGTTGCTGATGTTGTTTTTGTTGTTGTTATTGTTGTCGTTGTTGTTGTTGTTGTTGTTGTTGATTTTGTTGGGGGCTGTGGCGGTGTTTGTGATGTTGTCGTTGTTGTTGTCAGTGAGATAATTGTCAATACTGCTGTTGCTACAGTTGACTTTATGACAACAGTTGCACCTGTTGTTGCTGAACTGTTGTTGTTGTTGTTGTTGTTGTTGATTTTATTGTTGTTGTTGTTGCTGTTATTGTTTGTTGTTACTGTTGTTGTTGCTGTTGTTGCTGCTATTGTTGTTGTTGTTGTTGTTAATAATGTAATGGTTGTGGTTGGTGTGCTCCTGTTGTTTTAGTCATTACTGCATAGCGTTGGTTACCTACCAAAATATTTGTTTTTAAATAACAGAATTTACAACTTAGTAAAGCAACACAGTGCACATCAACGATACGACAAAACAGTGAGACCTTTCAAAATGAAAGGTGCTGTTGAGCTGTATAAAGGCAAGACGAGTGTGAACAATATTTACAGCATTTCGTCTTGAACGATGAAGAAGAAGAAGTTAGTCAGAAGAAAGAGGATACGTATCTATGGATAAAGAAGACCACACTACTCACTTAGCAACAATCTCTTCCTGTTTCTCAATGTCTTGATTTTCCTTGTCAATGATTCCAGGAACTTCAGTGACGTCATCCCCTTGTCCCAGCGTCTTCAGAAGGTCATACTGTGATGGGAAAAGGTATTTAGAGTTTAACGCCCCTTTTCAACACTGTTGGGTTTTATAAGAGGCGAGACGACCTCCTGTTTTAGTAAGAGTTTTACGGCACTTGCAACACAATAAGGTCATATAAGTGCCGAAGACTAGAGGTGTTACAAGAGAGTAACAAACGCAAAAAAGAAGGTGAGATCAGGACAATAGATGTTTGATAGGAAAGAAGAAGCAAAACACACCAGAGTACCCCCAAACCACGCACAAAACCACCTCCGAATTTTACAACTATCTCAGATAAAACCAAGCCTAATGGGAAAGATCCTGAAAACACGACTGCTTCTTGCTAAACTATAAAGAGCCATCTCGCATCTTTCGAAATCATCAATATTAAGCAGCAAAAAACAAAAACGACAACAATAATGCCATAACAATAACAACAAGAATAACAACAACAACTGTTCATACAGCAGCAACGAGACTATAAACAATAGTAACAAAAAAGCAAACGAAATAAAAATAGCAATACCGACAACATCAACATCAGCAGCAGCAACAACAGAAAACAACAGCAGCAACAACAACAATAACAACAGCAACAGCAGGAAAAACAACAGCAACAGTAACAACGACAACTGCACCAACAAGAAAGCAAGAAATACCCACCGCCTCTCGTAGAAGTTTCACTTTCTCAGAAGCAAAATCCAGTCTCCGAGATTCACGCACTGCTTGTACCTTCCGCCGCTCCTGAGTTGTGACATGAAGAGAAAAGATTTTAATGACATAGGAAGTGATGGGTGGGTGGTGTGGTGGGAGGGGGGCATACTGTATTAATATACACATAGGAAACAGCGGAATAATATAACGATTTAAACCGGAAGATGACACAAATTCTGAGACACATAAACAAATAAGCAAACAGACAAACAAACAACAAACAAGTACAACATCATTAGCAAATGTATCCACACGCCGTCATACTGACTGACTAGTGCATCGGTGCTCAAACACAGACGATCGCATCCACAAACACGCGTAAACGGGTCACATTTAAACATATTATTATGTGCCTAAGACAGACACACACAAATACACACACAGACACACAAACATACACACATTAGAAGTTAGGCTACCGGACCCGTAATCGTGAGATTGCAGGGACTCGGGAGTTCCGAACCTCAACTCGGTCTGATGTTGTGTCTTTGGGAAAGGTACTTTACACGAATTTCCCATTTGTATCAGGCGATCTTTGCAGAGCTGGATGTTAAACTCGGAGGTCCCACTCCTTAAATAAGCTAATAGTGTTGATAAGGGCGTTAATCCTATACCATAACACCATTTTCACAAAAACCAAGTCACTTACCTTCAAGGACATCAAACGCTGCTTGTGTTCTTCATACTCAGCGACCCTGAAATATAGAACACAGAGGTTTTTTTCTGATCAAATGGCGTCAATCTCATACAATTTGGCACGCAACAAAAATAAAAAATAATATAAACCAAAAAAAATGAAAATAAAACACAGAGTTAAACGAAAGAACGTGTTCATACAATGCCCCTCACATATTCTAGTACACTCCCTTAAACATACATTTGCGATATAGTGTTATCATCTCGAACGATATTTTTCTTATGTACCAGTCCAAGATCATTTTAAAAAATACGATGTAGGTCTATGACAAGTGCACTTTTTGCCGAGTCCACTGAAAGATATTTAGGTTTTCGAAGATGCCAAAAGCAAAAGGGAACAATTTAACTTTTGTTTCCGTTCACAATGTATGCTGCAGCTTTTCTGTAACTTTCACCTGCTCCCATAGATATAGCTCTATTGCTGTCGTGTTGACGCTTGAAAGATCTAGCAACGTCAAAATACTCTATGCGTTACGTCAGTTTCGATGCACAACAGATTAGGATAGGCGGTCGCCGGTAAGTATTCATAAAGTCTCTACAAACGGTTCCAACAGAACACGAGCAACTACTTCACCTGCTCTATGAATATTTTGACAACCCTTCAGGGACGGTGCTTCAGAGAGAGAATAATACTTTATCCTTTATGGTCCTTTGCACTGACGTGAATTGTTCAAAAACGTTCAAACTGGTTTGGTAAGGCTTGGGTTTCTTACTCAAATATCGGAAAAGGGTTCTGCATTCCTCAGCATGCCCATTGAAAAGTGCATAACAGATGCACAAGCGCGCACGAAAGCGCGCGCGCGCACACACACACACACACACACACACACATACACACACACACAAGCGCGGCACATGTACATACATGCAAACACAGACAAACACACACATACACTCGCACACACG